TAATAACCTTATATTATTATTATTATTATTATTATTATTATTATTATTATTATTATTATTATTATTATATCAGTTGTTATTGATTATTTTATATTGATTTGTTCATAAATTTCCATACATATATGTAAAAATGGTTTCGTCAAATACAATAAATCTTGTCATGTCAAATTGTTTTTCATTACAAGGGAATCATACCTTCATGGACAATCTTAATGTCTTTCAAACAAGAGCCATCAGCGACACCAACGCGTTTGTCTCGAGGCAATTATTTTGTAGCGTCGTTTAGCAGTGAGTGAAAAAGACGTCAGTCCTGCGCTTGCGCAGCTGCTCTAAGGTTGCACGGAATTCGCGTTGTACGGCGATAGAACACAACGGTCGGAGAGCTGCTGTGCTTCTAAGCAAATGCTTTGTTTAGTACGTAGATGTAACCACCTAAGTCGAATAGTCCTAGGATTGAAATAGAGACGATTTGCACATTGCAGGTGAGTGCAACGAATTGAGAACAGTATTAACGTCAGCTGATAACCTACCACCTATTATACACCGTACACAGTACCATCTGTCTGATGTATTTTAACGTGAGCGAATACATTGACGCTCGATAATTTCTTCGTAAAATTTGCACTACTAATACAAGCTAGTCCTTTTTGTACTGGAGGTAAAACGTTTCCCATATTATATTTTAATTGATCGCTTCGTTGATCGGACTACCACTCATCTGCCCTCCCAGTCTAGGTTACGTGTATCCGACTTGTTTTCGCAACTATTAACGCATATGAGTAGACATCATACAGTAACCCGACGTATATACGGAATGTAAATTGGCAGTGCGCTGATTCCCGCACTAGTCATTCGTGCAGACACTTTTAAACTGACAAATGGGTGAACTGATTTTACCTCATCCGACGCATTTGCAATTTCGTGTAATATATTAATGCTATTTCTTCTCAGGTGCCGTGACGTTCACTATGTAGAGATTGTTTTGACTTTCTTGACAAAAATGGATTTATGGTCCGGGCTGATATTCAAATTATTCAAATATCAGTGTGTAACCGCGAATACGTATATTTTAATATTTACAGTATGACAGTCGACAGTAAATAGGTACATAAGCGTGCTTGACATTAGAAGACTTAGTCTAAATGGTCGTAGATAAGACTCCGCATCGTTACCTGGGCAATCAGTCGGTGATGACCACATCTCTGTTCTTCGCCGTGGCAGTTATTGCTATGGTGACCGCTGATGGAATGACATCGCTCCAACAATGGAGACGGGAGAAACCTACACAAATAAATACTGAAAGACGTAAGTGACTCAACATGCATGATCTTAGAAACTGTAATGCTGTAATTTGTTGTTATTGTTGTTGTTGTTGTTGTTGTGATTGTGTCATGTAGAAAACCAATCTAGATAAGAGCGTAAGTTTTCTTTAATCGTACAGTAGTACCTCTTTTCATGCACGGTGCGTTTCCCCTATTCACATGCAATGACACATCCGGCGTATTGTGGAACAAGAATCGGAGCACACCGATCACCTGAGCCGAATCGTTTCAGACTGAGAAGCCACTGTTTTGAAATCCACGGTAGTCTGTTTGTATAGCAAGGTCAGGGCTCGATATGGAGAGAAATCTGTTATGATTGTTTGAATGTCAGGATCCTTTACTACACAAATAAACAAGACATTCCATCCATCGTTCGTGATCCTATTAAACTGCATTTTTTGACAGCCTACCATTATTTTCTAAAGATTGTTTTATTTACTATATTGACTGACGGTCATAAACACGTGTTTCTCGGTACTATTTTTTTTATAATTACCTGAATGACCTAGTTCTATTTTATTTCGTCTCACATACGTAATATGTGAATAGCCAGTCTTGAACAATTTCCCAACTTCACGCCTTAACGAATAATTTCATTCGACTCTCGATTTGTTAAAGCCTCATCGTCCTTCGACACTACGGACACAGTTAATGTTTTCTCGACATTGGCGAAGGTATGATTTATCACACGCCACGCTGATAACAATTTCAACAAATAACCTCACGTACAAATAGAAAAGGAGCTCACATCATGCAAGACTTGTACTCGACTAGCAAATTGCGTCTAGTAATTAAAAATACTAGCTATGTGTCCAATAAAACCGCTCGATTCTTTTTCCTTAAATATTTACTATGCGCTTCGCGTGCAATTCTACGACACGGTTCTACCAAGGCCACTTTGTTTCACTCAACATGTCCGATGTCTTTGTCGGACTCATTATTTTAACACGAGTAATCTCGCTGATTATGTAAATCCTTTCCCGAGCGGATTTATTCACTGACCATTAAGATAAGCCCAAATCCCTCTCGTGTGCATTACAGATAAATATAAAAAATCACGTGTTTATTCACATACGATCATGTGATATTGTGAGGAAATCGATACACTGGTAATACATATTGTATTTCGATTCCCATACAATAGCTTATTTTGGGTATAACAGTGATGCGATTCAACTATGTTACACTGTATCAATGTATAAAACGGCTTGATGCATGGCAATTTTATACTTCAAGTCTGCATGATGCATCTATTCGTGAACTCTCAAACTGTGATGCAGTGTTCCAGTAAACGTATCCTTGTAAAAATATAAATTACGTTCATGAATGTTAGAAATCTCCGAGCCCGCCTGCCTGCCAGGGCATCTAACGATTGTGTGAAAATATCTCGGGCGACGACGCTGCAAAATACACCTCAGTACAAGCACATCCATGGAACTGCTGATATCGATGTATTCCCGTCACTGGATACACCGACTGGTGCCGAGGAAATACCGCTACTCGTAGAGAATTAAGGAGGCTTTAATTTGAGCGTGGTAAATAATTCTTCATATTTAATCTTGGTCAAAAGAAATATAGCGTTAGTTTTTTTAGATCGCCATAGCAAACGTTTGCTTCATGAAATATTGTAACTCGTAAGTACGTATACACGCCTCAGATTTATCTACACAAATAGATAAAATACTAGTAATTCCACGCTATGTTTATTGCCAAGATGTGTTTTCAAACAGAAGTATTTAAACATGTTTGAAAAAAAATCCACATTACCTCTTTACCGAATGCCATTTTTGTTTAAACAAACACACAATCAAATTGCATTGTCGATACTAGTATTTCGTGACGAGTACAAAAGCAGTAATATCGTGTGACATGTACATATATTCATTCATAATTAAATGTGCATGACATAATGACCTTTGAATAGGTATGTACCATTGCCAACGTGCGCGCTGTCAGGGGTTTATAAAAGCAATTTACTAATTAACCTTAAATTAATCATGTCCATGTATTCCACGAGATTGGTCATGCCTACGTATTCCACGAGATTGATCATGTCCACGTATTCCACGAGATTGATCATGTCCACGTATTCCACGAGATTGATCATGTCCACGTATTTTACTGGTTAATCTGGTGAAAGTACGAGCAGTGCTCGTAATAAGTAATGATATGACTACTGTCACGCTGTTCCACAATCGGTTTTATGCATGCCTACACTTGACTCAACACAATTTATGCAGGGGAACAACTGATAAATCTACTTTTTTTACAATGCTATATGAGTTCAGAGGCACCACACATGACATAATGGCCAATTGAGCATGCGCATACTGCTTCTACTACAATAGCCCACTTTCGAGATAAACGGCCGATGGCGGCATCCTATAACGTGACCAAAAAAATTCTCACGGTGGGGCCATATTGAAGTCAGCCTAGCCTGTGAATGTATTTACGTTACGACCTCGTCAATCTTTCCAACGCTAATTTTAATCGGAAAACAGAACCAGACAGCGCAACATGCACTGACACCACTTCGTAGGTTCAAAACGTCACCCCAGTAAATATTGAACAGAAAATCGCCGAAAAAAATCGTCACCAGTGTTAATATAAAACAATATAAATGTTAAAGATGACAACCTGAAGAAATAAATACTCAGTTGAAATAATAATTAATGACGACATACAGTACTTATTTCGCCCAACCTTCCACTTTTACCGCTTTTTACAGTAATCGACCGCTTATCGCTTAATTTACGACCATGCGGTCTTGCCCGACCGGAAACCGTCCGCATTTTAATCGTTTTTTTTTCACTCATTGAAAACACCGACCGCTCGCTAAAACACTAATCAGTGACACATGAGTGGTCGAAATGGTGGTTTTGATAGTAAAGTGTGAAAATACATCTAGTATTAACTATTATTAAATTCTGAACGACACTTCAAATCTATAATTGTATTATAGTTGTACTAGTATCGTTCGCGAAAGCAACTGAAGGAACGTGGACCTTTTGTTACTTGAATTGGGTGCTGGTTCTAAATGTAATATTTTATTTTAATGAGACAGTTACGTGAAAAAAGCATAGCTAACTCTTAACAGAGCGGGGAGACGAGGAGAATATTAATATTAAAACCTCGTCGGTCCACAGGCGGTTGTTCTGGTAAGATTTGACACCCAATTTTCAAAATTAAGTCACGGTCAGTGAATGAGCTCGATCTATACGTACCGTAAAAATATTCCAACAAAAAATATTTTCGAATAAAAACGGCCACATGCCCTGAAAAAAAAAATAGAACAGAGCTTGACATGTACGAGCAATTTATTGGGCTTCAGAAAATGTATTGGGCTTCAAATTTAGTTATAGTCATAAGTATTTGGTGACCAGTCGATGAACAATTCGTAAATCAGGATTCACACGGAAGTCCTTTGGTATTGAACATCATCG